TTTTTAATGGCATATTTTTTAATGTTTACAGTTTTACCTGGCTGACAGTATCTTTCATTTCGTGATTAATAAAAGTAATTTTCTCATTCAGAGGAAGAAGGTGCAAAGAATGATGTACACCAGCTGTTAAATGTGCTAAATACACCACTGATTTAGGAGAAAGAGAAAGTAGCTAACAAAATTGAGTAGGCACATGGGAGAGATCACGGCTAGGTGCTCTTTACACCTTATTTAGTCTAACACAACAAAACTGCCATTTACATAGGAGGAATCGAAGCTCAGGCTTAACTTTCCCTCAAATTCTACTTACGTGTGTATTGGCAGATTTTTCTACATTGTCAGTCTTAGACTGGTTATTATTACTCTCTCAAAACCAAACAATAGGGTACTATTTGTATAATATAATTAGTAACTTTTAACAAACAGGCATATCTAGGGGCACCTGGGTGGCTCAGTTGGTTGGGCATCCGACTTTGGCTCAGGTCATGATCTCACGGTTCATGGGTTCGAGCCCCGCATCGGGCTCTGTGCTGACAGCCAGCTCAGAGCCTGGAGCATGTCTTCGGATTCTGTGTCTCCCTCTCTTTCTTATCCTCCCCTATTCACACTGTCTCTCAGAAATAAAATTTTAAAGCAAACAAACAAACAACAACAAAAACCCAAACAGGTATATCTAGTATAACTCTGTATTAGTTTCAAGTGTATAACATAATGATTTGATATTTGTGAGCATTGCAAAATGATCACCACAATAATTCTAGTTAACATCTGCCACATTCCATGGTCACATTCAGAAAACAGTTTTTGTGGTGAGAATTTTTAGGGTCTACTCTCTTAGCAACTTCCAAATATGCAAAATATATTATTAACTGTTGTCACCATTCTGTACCTAACATCCCAATGACTTATAACTGGAAGTTTGTTCCTTTGACCCCCTTCACCCATTTCTCCCACCCCCTACCTCTGGCAACCACCAATCTGTTCTCTGTATCTATGAGCTTTTTGTTTTGTTTTGTTTTTGTGTTTTATTTGTTTTTAGTTTCCAAGTGAGATGACATAACATGTCTCTGACTTCTTTCACCTAGCATAATGTCCCCAAGTTCCATCCGTGTTGTTACAAATGTCAAAATTCCATTTTTTGAAAATAGCTGAATAATATTCTATTGTGTACATAAACTGCATTTTCTCTATTTAATCATCCATTGGTAGACACTTAGTTTCCATATTGTAATATAATTATTGAATTTTAAACTTGCACTTTTCATGTACCCCAATATTCATAGTATCACTTTCAACAATAGCCAAATCATGGAAAGACATTAAATGTCCATCAACTGATGAATGGATCAAGAAGATGTGGTTTATATATTATAATGGAATACTACTTGGCAATGAGAAAGAATGAAATTCTGCCATTTGCAGCAACGTGGATGGAACTCGAGGGTGTTATGCTGCGTGAAATAAGTCAGGCAGAGAAGGACAGATACCATATGTTTTCATTCAGATGTGGATCAAGAGAAACTTCACAGAGGATCACGGGGAAGGGGAAGGGGAAGGGGAAAAAATAGTTAAGAAGAGGGAGGGAGGCAAACCATGAGAGACTCTTGAATACTGAGAACAAACAGGGCTGATGGGGGTGGGGGAGAGGGGAAGGGAGTGATGGGCATGGGGGAGGGCACTTGTTGGGATGAGCACTGGGTGTTATATGGAAACCAACTTGACAATAAACTATATTAATAAATTAATTAATTAATTAATTAATGTTGTACACTTTTATTAGTTCTTAATAAGAATTCCTTTCCAGGACGCTGGTATACTTTGTGGCAAGACTACTGTCTTAAATTGTAGAACTATTTTATACACAAATTTTATTTTTCATTTTATTTTCATAATGTTCATTTCTTTTTTTGAGAGAGAGAGAGTGAGGGAAGGGCAGAGACACAGAATCTGAAGCAGACTCCAGGCTCTGAGCTATCAGCCCAGAGCCCAATGCAGAGCTCGAACTAACGAACAATGAGATCATGACCTGATCCCAGGTCAAATGCTTACCCGACTGAGCCACCCAGGTACCCCTATCTACATATATTTTAAAAGGAATCTTTTTAGAAGTCAGCAATTGCATCTCTGGTAGATGCCTCTTCAGATGTTGTGCATTTAATTAACACTTGTTGAATGAACATGAAGTTACCTCAAAGAAAAGTTGTTCAAAAATGTTCCTTTTAGCAAAGCCTTAGAGCACACAATTGTAATTGAAAGACAGGTTAATATAGTAAGAAGAAAATGTAGAATCATTAAGACAAAGTCCTAATATAAAACATAGAATAGGGAAGAAGCAAGACTGCTCTTTTAAGTGAACTCTATTCCTAGGGCAGAAAGTTAAATATCAGGAAGAAATATGTGTGGCATTTTTGCCTTGGGACCACAAATTTCTTAGCATGGCTTCAGTAAAATTAAGCACACTAAGCACTCCTTTGCCCCAGCCACAAAATGTAGCATATCCCAATATTAAATAATGTCCTATGCCCAAACTTGCCATCCGTGGTTAATCACTGTTAGAAAGTTCTTACATAGAAGGTGCCCTTGTTATGGTATGAAAATCAACTGGGGACTCAGAATCTATGAACTTGAGCTTTAAATAATTGGTTTGTCCCTTTAACAAAGCAACCTACCCAGATTTATTCTTGACTCAGTAAATGCAGACAGGGCGTGGCAGCCCTTAACCAGCTGGGTGTATCTGTGCAATTCAAAAGATGACTGATGAGGTACTGTTTACATTTAAAAGTAGAAAAATTATCCTTGATGTGCACTGTTCCCTTGACTAACTAGGGGTTGAGGCTATTAATGCAAATTATGAAAACTGACAAAGTCCAGAGTTGACAAGCAACAGAAAGCTGTTCTTCTCCAAACCCTTTCATTTACCTCTAAGCTCTTAAAATGACAAGAGGACCATGTCTGGATTTTCCTGGGTATTCAAGTTTGTCTGTCTTCCCTTGAACATTGTGACTCATAGTGGGGAATATCAACTATGGTCCCTCCATTCATACCAGCTGGTTTAACGTGCTTTGCAAAGGACAAAGTGAAAAATGGGAACATGGGAAAAATGTAATTGTCCATCAGTATGTCTGTGGATAAGTAACTTGCAGTATATTCTATTTATACCTGCTGTATGAACCACAGCTATGTGTACCACTATAATATCTCGAAAACATAATATTTAAGTGAAAAATAAAGACATTTGATAGTATGCAGTATCAGAAAGGGTGTGAGAAAATGGGCACTTATGTCTTCTTTAAGAAAGAATAATTACAACCCGTTATGATTAATATCACCATAAAAGTGTCAGCTCTATTCCAGACATACTTCGTGTATGAGAACTGTTATTGCACTATTACAATTATTATGGATTGTTCATTAATAGAGGACAGGTTAAATACATGATGGTTTTAAATACATGACATCCAATGCATCTGGGACAAAAGAGTAAGGAATCTATTTATACATTTTATGTAATTATCTCTAAGATCCAATGTTGCATGAACAAAAACAGTGCTTAACAGTGTGCTAGCACTTAAGTGAAAAAAGGCATGGGGAAATATATATATGTATTTGCTTAATATGCGTAGAACATCTCTGAAAGAATATGGAGGAAACAGGAAACACTGGTTGGTTCTAGGAAGTGGAACTGGATGTTTGGGCACTTTGTGGGAAAGAAATTTTTCACTCACTGTGTACTTCTTTTGAATGATGATATCTAATCATAAAAGGAAAAGAAAATTGGGAGTTTTTAAAGATAGAGGCATCTGGGTGGCTCAGTCAGTGGCTCAGTTGGTTGAGTGTTTGACTTCTACTCAGGTCATGATCTCATAGTTTGTGAGTTTGAGCCCCGCGTCGGGCTCTGTGCTGACAGCTCAGAGCCTGGAGCCTGCTTCAGATTCTGTGTCTCCCTCTCTCTCTGCCCCTCCTCCACTCACCTCCCTCTCTCTCTCTCTCTCTCTCTCTCTCTCTTTCTCTTTATCTCTCTCTCTCTCTCTCTAAAATAAACATTAAAAGAATTTTTTTAATAAAAGATAAAAAAAGAAAGTCTTTAAAGATAATGTTGAGTGGGGGAAAAAAGTAAAACAGAAAATAACATACAGGTAATCAAAATACACACACACTGAAGTGAAATATACCACAATCAGGAAGGTAAGGTAGGAGAAGAGACAATTGGAACAAGAGAGGGTAACCCAGGGGGTTGTAGTTATATATGCACTATTTCTTTTTTTAAAAATCTGAAATACAGGGATGGCCTGGGTGGCTCAGTCCTACTCTTGATATCGTCTCAGGTCATGGTCTCACAGTCATGAAATATAGCCCTGCGTGGGGCTCTGCACTGACAATGCTCTCTCTCCCTCTCTCTCTGCCCCTCCTGACTGCATATGCATTTGTACATGCTTTCTCTCTCTCAAAATAAATAAACATGAAAAAAACAATCTGAAACACATATAGCCATAGGTTAAGAAGTGTTAAAGGTGGGTAACGGATAGCTTGGGTGTTCATGACATTAGTATCTCTACTTTTGTGTTTGCTGGAAATAGTTTGTTTATAAAAAGGTTGTGATCAGGTATCCAGGACATATGAATATATGTTCATATATATTCATATTAAAGGTTTATTTGTTGGCATTACCAGGGATCATAAAAATAAGGAAGAAATGATTCCTCCTTTTTAGAGATTTAATCGTGGTTAGGAGGCTTAAGAATATTATAGAACAGTCTACCCAGCTGGCCGGTGGGAGAGCAGGGCACCTCCCCTCACCTGGAGGTTTAGCTCCCCTTCTCTGTGGAGGGGAGAGGCGAGAGAAGAGTTGTAACTACTTACAGTGTCAAACTTTACGTGAACTTAACCTCTCATAGCACTGGACAACAGATGAGGAAACTGGTTTTTCCACTTTAATGTCATGATTTCTCATCTGGCCCCAGTAATGCCTTACTGCCTTCTCTATTTTAAACTGTCCTTAGGTGGCCTTTTAGGTCCTTCACATGAAGATCCCGACCTACATGAGGGAGAACTGTGGGCAGACTAAGGGCTCAAGCTGGCTTTGGATCCTGCGAATGCTTCCTACTGGCTGGATGATCTTGAGTAAGGACCTAATCTCTCTGTGACTCTGTTTCTTCACCTCTAAACTGAAAACCGTATCATGATCCCAGGGTCGTGGGATTGAGCCCTGTGATGGGCTCCATGCTGATCATGAAGCCTGCTTAAAATTCTCTCTCTCTCTCTCTCTCTCTCTCCCTCTCTCTCCTCCTGTAGTGCTCCTCTCACCAGCTCCCAACTCATGCACTCTCTCTTTAAAAAACAAAAAGATTTTGTAAAATGAAAACCATAGCAGTACTTTGTCAGGATAGTGTGACTTGTAAAGAGTTGAAGATGATACCTACCACATGGTAAGTGCTCAGTTAATTCTATTATTCACTCTAGATAGAATCTTTCCTCCTGTTTGCTCAGGTTACCACTTTTCCTGGAATTTTCTCTGGCCACCTGTCAATAGACTACCAAGTTTTCAAAATTCTTTTTTCCTGGTCTGTCTAACTGAATGTGATTTCTTCTTCCTCTGAACCTTCATGGAACTACATACCTTCTATGGTACTTTTACTCTGCCCTTCTGAAGTTATCTGGGAACTTGTTTCCTTCTCCATTTTATACACACACACACACACACACACACACACACCTCAACACACTGATCTAGCAAAATTCTTGCTAAAGTCGATCCAAGGTGATCAGACATATCACCTGGAGGATGGTAGAAGCACATATGCATATATCTATCTCCTTACAAATGTTTTTCTAAGATATGTATGTATGCATACATACACACACACACATCACTAGACGTATTTCATTGAATTTCTTTTAATACCTTTATGTATTTTATGTTCTATGTACTTTCTCTGTAAGCATCTTTGCCATAGACACCTTTCTCACAAACATTTTTTTTTTGCATTTTTGCCAAGAGCATTTTCGCTGCATAATTGGCTGCAAGGCAATTTTGCTATAAAAGGTAAAAGATCACTGGTTGTCATTTTGGATTCATTTCTCCACTGATGAAGTGCTCCCATTTTTGTTCAGGTCTTTCTTCCCAGGGGTGCAGAGTTTTGAACCCCCATTTCTCATTGAACGTGGGAACATCTATCAATGGACACAGGACAGACACTATGCCCAGAACCAACGACAGTGTAGGAGGCTTTCACAACACAAGACTAAACTCAGTTACAAAATCACATCCTTGTATTTGGAAATGGATACCTCTCTTAACAAAGGAAATGATTTGAGTGAAAACAAAAAAGAACAAAGTGTGATACTGAATGAGGAGATAATTCAATAAGCAGAAAAATATTTAATACTGTGAGAGGTGAAATAAAGTGCGCTCACTTCTGACAAGACTTTTAAAATGGAGCTGGGCGGTCATTGAGGACATGGACCTTACACATGTCCCCAGCAGTGCAACCATGAAATTTTGAACCGGGCCAAGCCACAAATATTCCAAGGATTCCCCCTGGACACCTGCAGGTTGCTACAGTAAGAGATTTTGCTTAGCGACAGCCTTAGCTACCAGCTATATTCAGTCAAGATTAGCTTTCTGCTGTCAACATCAATCAAAAATTATTTTGTAAATAACATATATAAGTGTTCCCTTTTTGCTTTACGAATCCTTGACCCCTCTTCCTTAGTGGGACGCTTTTTGGGCTGCTACCCAAATCTGTGTGCCCAAATTGCAATTCTTTGATCCCAAATAAATGCTCTTGCTTCATTAGTGCTTCCAGACAGTTTTAGGTTGACAATAGCCTGAACAAAAGACTTTGAAGACAAGTCCTTAGGTACGAACCACAAAATAAATCAGTTATTTGCACAGTATTGCCATGAATCTACACACGTTAGATGTATTCAAGTATTTTTTTGACCGTCTTTTTAAGTTTGCTACTCATTTTTCATATTTCATCATGTCCTTTTTAATGAATGTCCTTTCTCGTGATTTTATGTTGTTCAGCAAAATTGACTTCTGGCAAGCTAGTTATGCAGTGAAAATGGTTGTAGAAAATATGCTTGCAGCCACGATGCTTACAGCAAAAATACTGGACATGCTTTGTAGTAGTCCATCGTGTGGAATGTTTCTGTATGCATTTGCCCCTACCATTTACAATCATAAGATTATTATGTGGAAATGTGTTATTTTCCCTTTCCTTCCCTTTATTCCACATTAAGTCACGAATAAACTATGCACAATCCTAAGGTTGCTCCATATAGCCCAAGGTCTAGGCAGTGAAGAAACATTGCTATGATTTCTATCTCTGAGGAGTCACCGTCTGGAAATACTGTTTAGAACCCGTGCGTGCTTTTTATGCTCTTTCTCCTTGGGGCGTGTTGTGGTGGGCCACATTTTGTGTCCCTTCCATTGCCCCTTTGGTCTGTCTAACTCCGTGCCAGTTCTCTCCTTTTTCTTGCTTTCTGTGTAGTATTTTTTCATAACCCTAGCTTTTAGAAAAGTTAGGTTAACAGAAAGTTAGTATTTATGGCCCACAGCTTTTGTTTTCATTTTTTTCTTTCTTTTTCTTAACCACCTCTTTCCTCTCTCTCTCATGCCTCAATTTCAGGCTTTAAGAGACTGAAAACTGTAATCATAGACTTTAGTAAAAATATTTGCATTTTATGTCATCTCTTACACTTTAGTCAGAATGCTGTGTTCTAATGCAGAGTTTCAGGCATCATCTGAGGAACCAGTGGAAACCTTTTGGGCTGTGGAGTGTTCTTAAAATCCAAATTTAAAAACACATAGTCCTATTTGCATGTTTTACCTTATTGCTGGGCCATGAGCCTCACACATCACCTTACCACTGCTGTATCTCTCCAAGGACTCTGTGAACTACCTCCACGGTGCCATAGTCCTTTCTGGTAACACACAATGTTACAATCCCCACGTATATGGTCTCGCTACAGGGCTAATTGATGGTGATGCCTAATTAAAAGAGATTCTGGTTGGGAGTGCTATACCCACCCACCCTATTCTAAATGCATTGGCCAGTAAATGTACATGTTACATTATACATTCTGCAGAGTTTTAGTCAGTTGACTTTAGATAGATTAATGAAATTGCCAATATTTGATGACCCTTTGCCCAAGGGTCTCTCCTTGACCAAACTTTCGTCAGACTCCTCTGAATCTTCTTCCTTTAAAAATATATATATATATATATATATATAATTTATTGTCAAATTGGCCTCCATACAACACCCAGTGCTCATCCCAACAAGTGCCCTCCTCAATGCCCATCACCCATTCTCCCCTCTCCCTCTGAATCCTCTTCCTAGGCCTCGACTTTTGGCCTTCCGTATTTGTCTTTGCATTGTCCCATTTTAGCAAGAATCCTGCTGAATCAGGTTAGCCAGTACCCCCCATCTTCAATATCTGACCACCCTCTCTACCTAACTGGGTTCCTCATTCTCTAGCATGCCCCAAGTCATTTCTGATCACCCTGGCCTGCCTTCAATAGGAATGCCACTAGGTCATTTTAGCTAGAATACCCCCTTATCCCTGAGGTTTCTTCTTAGTAATTTTCTACATGCGGACCCCCACCCTGCTCCTTTGCTATCTAGAGTTGAGGCCAATCTCTCTCCTATTGCCAAACCCAACATAATAGTCCCTATGCCTATCACATTGGTCCCCCTGAATAAAGTCTGATTTACTGTCCTCTAACAAGTGAGTAAGTTTTTTCCTTTCAACAACTTTCATCTGTGCAACCTAATGTATGTTAGGTATTGCAATAGGCCCAGTGAGGTCAGTGGTCTTCAAACCCAAACTTTCAGGAAGCAAAAGTCCATTTATATATATACTGTTTTCTCTCCTCTTCCTTCCTACCTCCTTTCTTCTCGCTTTCTCCCTCCCTCCTTTCATCCTACATTTTTTCTGTCTTTCTCTCCTTTTACATCCTACCATGTCCTATGAGGATGTGACATGAAAACTTTGTTCTCATTACAGTAGCAAATTCAGAATTAATTGTTATCATGTATGGTGTGAATTACCTAGATTTATCTCTCAATATTTAGACAACCAGTTTCTTAAGTTTGCCATTCTTGGGAGAACACATAATTCTGCATAATAATGGATTTTAAGATACTTGGATGGTATCTTTTATATGTTATCTTTTTTGATTTGGATAATGACTTCTATTACATTAGGGGATAGCTAAGTTTGAAGTCCTATGATCACTTTTGTTTTTCCAATTACGTGCTTTACTAGTTGAGATTCAATAAAATGAATTTCATTCCCAAGTGGTTTGATTGTCAATTTTTAAAATAACATGTACAGAGATTCTCGGCAACATGGCGGAGAAGTAGGGAGCTCCGTACATTTCGCTCGCCCGCATCTCTCAAACAAAGAAGGCCATGGGACACTGAAATCTAAGAGTCTGGGAGGAAAAGAGACAGAGTCCACTAAAATAACATGTACAGATATTACCTAATCTAATGTTGCTTTTTTGTATGTTTAGTGCACAGAATCTAATTTCCAACGGGGAAATTTGCTCTTTACCCCATGGACTACTGGGAATGAACTGTTTTATAGTTTTGCCCACTCATGCACAGAATTATTGCAATACATGGCCTTAAAGAGGAGACACGTAGAGCATACTGCACGTTTTTCAAAATAACACCAGGGGTCACTGTAGGCCAGAAACCTTCAAACATGTTCCGACATGTTTATCACAAAATTTGTATCTGAATACTTGCCTATTGATGAGATCATAGTTAACCCCTGGTTTTATAACAGCCCACATTACCTTTAATCACCTTTAAATTGTCCAATTTTAATTCAACAGAAAAAAACCTCTTCCTTTTGGAATTTAGAAGTGCAGACATCACTAATACCTAAGTATTAAACTTCCAAGGAAGCTGGGAATCCCTTTTCTTCCCTCAAAATTAGGTATGGTAACATAGTTCAGTAGACAAAGCCAGATTTAAAATCAAGACGGATGTGTTTTATGTCTTTCATTTTCAAATCCTACATTTCCTGCATGTAGCATAACCTTTTTGCTTACATTTCCACTTGGTAGGAAAAGACTAAGTTAGAGCATTTCTAAAATCGTATCCAGCTGGTAGTTTTGTGATAATACAAACTTGAAGTCTATTGCTTCCAGTATTCTTTTTTTTTTTAATGTTTATTTTTGTTTTTGAGAGAGAGAGGGTTCTCAAGTGGGGGAGGGGCAGAGAGGCAGAAGGAGACAGAGGATCCAAAGTATGCTCTGTTTGCACTGACAGCAGAGAGCTCCATGTGGGGCTCAAACTCACTGTGAGATGATAACCTGAACTGAAGTCGGATGCTTAACTGACTAAGCCACCCAGCGCCCCTGCTTTCAGTATTCTAATACTGAAGGTAGCAGAACTTTCCTCATATTCACAGAGGTCCATTTTGCTTAGGGACGGAATTGGAGAAAACCAAACTAAACCTAGGGCTATTTTAGAGATTTGAGTCCAAAAAAGAGACAGCTCTGGGATTCATGACCAAAGAGGACAAGCCTAAAATCTTTCTTTGAAGGAAGCCAAATCTCCACAAAGCTTGACTCTAATGCTTTCCTTCAGATCATATGTTCACACACATCTCCTCTCAGTTCAGTACAATAAAACTCCCTCTCCATCCTACATGCACTTCCCCTCTACCCCCAAACAACCCTTTGAACACACCCAAGCCAATGGCTGAAATCAATGAAACATTGCTCTATGCCAAGGTCTTGCTTGAACCATGAGCTTCAGAGGACTTCCTCAGGTTTTTTTTGAGCCATGTCCTCAAGCTCCTCCAAGTGTCTTTGCTTAAGCTAGTCTTCTTCCAAAGGACCATTGCCTTTCATAAATTGACAAATCACTTTTTGTTTCCCTGCTGACACGCATTCCCTCAAGGCTTTCTGCTCCCCCTTTATTACCTATTCCCAAAGTACGTAGTCAACGTGCTTAGTGAACTTTCACAGAAATTAGTGTCACTAAGCTATTCTCTGTGCCACCTTACCATGCTCACATTCACTGTCTTGCACATTAATCTAGTTCTTATACACAGGTAGTTATTATACACAGGAAACTTTGCATCTCTGGAAAAATGTTAAGCTTCCATGAAAAGTGGCCAAATCACATACTATAGCACATACCCTTTATCAATAGCCTAGCATAACACAACTTTCAATGGATAAGTAAATCCAGTGGACAGAATTGTTTATTTTGACCTCAAAGGATTTCTTTATAGCCTTGTGGATTATTTATTATATTACTGGCAGAATTTCGTACTTTGGGCCGCATCTGATTTACTTCGGTTTTCTTTAAATCTGATTATATACTTCTTCGGGATTAAGTCTCATAAAAACCCCAACACTTCTCAATTTTTCAAATGCTTAAGGACCCTCTAGTGAATAAAAAGGCTATGCCTGGCAACATATTAGTCTCTATACGTGTTTAACAATAAATGAAAGAGCATCAGTATCAATCTTAACAACAAGATAATTCTTCATCTTATCTAGTTAAAAAATGGGGTGGGGAGTTATTGAAAAACTAACAAATATTCCTTAAGAGTATCTAGATTCAATTAGGGGAGTCCACACATCAGAGAAACACCCTAAAGCTAGTTTCATTCCAGCTGGAGAAACAATTGCCTTTCTTTTCTCCTTTCAATAAGTGAGTATTTACTGAGTGATAACTGGTGTCTTGGTGATTTCACGGTGCTCAGCCTTGAGCATTTTACAAACTGTCACCACTCTCTTTCTTCAAAGCTACAACTTACTCGAATGCTTGTTCAACCACCGCGTTCCAGTGTGGAATTCTCCTGCAATGTTTACCTTCCCGACGTGACAATTTTGCAAACCCTAGTGGTAATTCCAGAGACAAAGTCCGATAGTTGGGAATGTAGTATAGGAAAGCTGTGGAGAAACTGGTATCTGGTGTTGAAATCTTAGGGCATTCACAACGATGCTCATCACCCACTGATGAGGTTTACAGCAGGATTAAAGGTTCAAGTGTAAGCACCAAATCCATAGTAGTAGGAGAAGATAAGTGTCTCAACTTATTTGACTCGTGGGTCTCATCTAGTTGACATTCTACTGCCACACTGCTTCACTCACACATGATGTAATGGTCACCTACCCATCAAGAAATTTGGTGGTAGCAACTGGGGTCTTACAGTGTAACAAAGTTATACACTATCCACCTAGAGGTGGTGTTAGGCCCCACAGGTTAAAGGCTGAGTCCTACAAGGTTCTATTCCCACAATTCTCCTTCTCATGCAACACATATATACAAATGAATCTTATCAAAGGCGAAGAGATGTAGGATATCTTGAGATCTCATCTACTTTGGTAATTCCATAATCAAGAAAAGATATGCACCCCAAAGTTCAAAGCAGCATTATTTACAATTGCCAAGGCAAAGAAGCCACCTAAGTGTCCAAAGACAGATGAGTGGATAAAGAAAATGTATGTATATAATGGAATATTATTCAGCCATAAAAGGAAGAAATCCTGTCATTTGTGACAGCACAGATTAATCTTGAGGGCATTAGGCTATGTGAGATAAAACAGAGAGAGAAAAAACAAATACTGCGTGGTACCACTTTATTTGTGAGATCTAAAATAAAATAAAATGAAATGAAATAAATAAAATAAAATAAAAAATAAAATAAAGTGGTCAAACTCATAGAAACAGAGTAGAAGAGGGGTTGCCAGTGGCTGGGGTTGGGGGGATAAGGAGAGGTTGATAAAAGGGTACAATGAGGTTATGGAAAAATTGTTAATTTTTTTAATTTTTAAAGTTTATTTATTTTGAGAGAGAGAGAAAGAAAGAGAGATGCAGGACTCAAACTGACAAACCGTGAGATCATGACCTTAGCCAAAACCATGAATCGGATGCTTAAACGACTGAGCCATCCAGGCATCTCTATTTGTTTAGAACAACTTGGATATATGTTTACTATTTCAGCTGTACATTTTTGAAATCTAGATACAGATTGAATATTTCAATAAAATCCAGGGTCTGAATTGAGATGTACTTATGTGTAAAACACAGTGGATTTTGAAAATTTAGCATGAAAGTTATAAAGTATCTTAATAAACTTTTATATTAATTACACATGGAAATAAGTTTAGATATATTGTGTTAAAATATATTAAAATCAACTTTAGCTTTTTAATATGGCTACTGGATGGCTTATAATTACAAATGTGCTTAGCAATGCCTTCCTACTGAAGGTGCTGACCTAGAGGCATTTTTAGAGGAACTCATATATGTTACATATTTTTCCTGTAGTTTTGGGCATCCTTGAACTACATTTTAGCTACATGTATGAGGGTATAGAGCTTCAAGTTTGGGGGTTTCTCTTAAAAGATAGAGCATATGTCTTATAATTTGATTTTCATGATTTTGATTAGAACACTAAAAAGGGCTGAGTTCAAACAACTCCTTGTTGAAGTTTCCCACTCACAGCTCACTGAGTTGGTTACCTGTAGATCTATGCAAGGTACATTGGAGTTTCCTCCGAAAGGGTCTGAAGAAGACCACATGACTATGAAAGAGAAAGTAAAATATCCGTAAAATGCACATTACATGATGATACGGCTTCATGTATGCGCTCTTCAGTCATAAAAAATAAGTCATATGCACTTCAGTGATAAGAATCACACTGCTGGGAGCGCCTGGGTCTCTCAAGGTTAAGCATCCAACTCTTGATTTTAGGCCTGGGTCATCATCTCACAGTTTGTGGGATTGAGCCCCATGTCGAGCTCTGCTCTGCCAGGGTGAACCTGCTTGGAATTCTCTCCCTCTCTCTCTCAGCTCCTTCCTCACTCATGTGCATGCTCTCTCTCTCTTTCAAAATAAATAAACTTTAAAAAATACATGTTTAAAAAAAATCACATTGCTGAAAAGGTCTTAAATTATACCCATAAGCCAGACGTAATCAGACATTTTCTGTATGGCTCTATTTTTTAAAAAGATTACTTTATTTTAAAATGTGTTTCTAAATGATTTTTGTGCCAGGCATGTTTACAGAATTATACTGAATATTTAATATGTAAAGTCTATTCATATCAGTAATTTAATACATCCATCAAAATTCTGTACCTTTGTCTCAATCTACCAAGTTAAGACAAATTTGATGTATTAATCTTAATTTCATTTCTGAACAGGTAATATGCACATTTGGAAAAATAAAAAATCAATACAAAGTATTCAGTCAAAGTATCTCTCCCAGGCCTGTTCTCCATCCATCTAGTTTCCTACCTCCCAAAACCCACACATAGGTGACCACATACTCCATGTGACTCTGTCTGGTGCATGTGTGCAGACTTTCCTTAGTGTATATCTGTAAGCAGTCTTAAATTCCCCTTTTAATATAAAAGGTAGAATATTGAAAGTATTTTTGGCCCGTTGCTTTTTTTTTTTTTTTTAATTTAACCTTATGTCTTGGAGATCTTTTTGTGTCAGTAAATGGAGCCCTTCCATTTCTCTGGTTTACAGCTATATAGTGTTCCCTGGGCAGGGGCCCTATCATTTATCTGACCAGGTTCCCATTGACAGACACTCGGATCATTTCCAGTTACAATTTCACCGTGAACAAACAATCCTGGGCACGGTCATTTCACATATATATCCACGGAGCTAGAATTCCTGTGGAAAAGGTATATTCCTCTTCATTTTTAGAAGATATTACCAAAATGCCCTCCAAAATGGAATTTGGACTTTTACCCACAAGTATGAGTGTTTATATCCTCATTGGTGTTTTCTAACTTTTACTGTTTTTTGTTTGTTTTTTTCTTACAGTATCACAACCAGGATACTAATGTTCATACAGTCAAGATACAAAACATTTTTGTCACCACGGAAGATCCTTCCTTTGGCCCTTTTTATAGACATGCCACTTACCTCTCACTCAAACGCTCTCCATAATTCTTGACAACCACTAATTTGTTCTTTATTTCTTTAATTTTGTCATTTGAAGATTGTTACATAAATGGAATCATGCAATATATAATGTTTTGGGCAGCTTTCTTTCACTAGCATAATTTTCTAGCAATTCTATGATCTATGTTGCTGCACAGATCAATAGCATCACTTCATTGTATGTATGTACCATGCATACATTTATTTAGCCATTTGCCCATTGAAGGGCATCTAGGTTGATGCTAATTTTTGGCTATTACCAGTAAAATTGCTGTAAAAACTTATGATCAAGTTTTTGTACAGCATACATTTTCACATCTCTGGGATCAATGCCCAGAAGTGCAATTGCTGACCACATGGTAGTTACATGTTCAGATTTTTAAAAATTGACCAAACGTTTTCTGGAGCAACACTGCCATTTTTATATTCCCACCAGCAATATATGAGCGATCCAGTTTCTCCAAATCTTTGCCATCAGTTGTTATTATCAATATTCAAAAAAAAATTTTTTAACCTGATAGATGTGAAATAACATCTTGTTTCGGTTTTAACTTGCATTTCTCTAGTAGCTAATGGAGCTGCACATCTTTTCAAGTGTTTATCTGCTACTCGTATATCCTCTCTGGTGAAATGTCTGTTTATGTCTTTAGTACTTTTCAAATTGTTTACTCTAGGGTTTTGAAAGTTCTTTATATATTCTAGATTGTAGTCCTGTGTTGAAGATGTAGTTTATAAATATTTTCTGAGATCCTCTCTTGTTACAACGTGTTGTGAATTATATTTCTAATCCACTAGAGTGGAGATAAATTAGCATAAGCCCAGATTACATATCATTATTAGATTTTCAGTGCCTAGTCCATTTCCCACTCATTGGTCCACCATCTAAACAGTGAAATTATGACAGAGTACTTTATTTTTTTTATGTTTAATCAGCATTCATTATTTAGTTAGCACATTTAGTAAAAGTTACATGTTTGCTTTTTAGTTTCTCTGAAGTACAGCCTGCCTGACACCTGACATATTTAAGGAATCTAGTGCTTTAAATTATGATAATGACCCCAAATACGCCGCATTCCTTATTTTACTTAATCTACCAGACCACTGAAAGATGACCTTTCAACACAGTGTGCCCTGTGCAGTTGAAAATCCATATAGCTTTTGACTCCCCTCAAACTTAACCACTAATAGCCTAATGTTGACTGGAAGCCCTACTGATAACACAGAACATCAATTAACACATATTTTGTATATTATGTATTATACCTTGTATTTTTACAATAAGGTAAGCTGGAGAAAAAAAAACATGATTAAAAAAATCATAAGGAAGAGAAATCACATTTATAGTACTGTATAGTAGGGGTGCCTGTACCATAGTGGCTTGGTGGGTTGAGCATCCCCACTTCAGCTCAAATCATGATCTCAGGGTTCGTTAATTTGAGCCCCCTGTCGGGCTGTTCTGGTAGGTAAGAGCCTGGAGCCTGCTTTGGATTCCATGTCAGTTCACACACTGCCTCTCTCTCTCCCGAAAAATAAATAAACATTAAAAAATATATAGTACTGTATTGTAAAAAAATCTATGTATAGGTGGACTCATGCAGTTTGAACTCATCTTGTTCAAGGATCAACTGTATTGTTACTTTTATTTTACAGGTAGAGAAATCAAAACCTAAAAAAGTTTTAACTAGCTCAGGTTCCAAGGCAGTAGAAATAAAATTTAAACCGGGTCTAAATCATTCCAGAAACTCTTAGCTACCATTCAGTATTGTCTCTCTGGAGCTAAGTCTTGTGGAATGGTCTGGCTTTTAAAGAAGTCATGTGACAAGGTCTGAGAGAAGTACCATCAAAAGAGACTCCGATTGGATTTCCACTTTTGGCCATGATGGACTCAGAGGGATTGGATTTGCCCTCAGACCCACCCTAATGGAGTTTAAAAGTAAGCCTCAAAACAATCAAAGGGATTTCAAGTAATTTACCTGCGTCTTAGAGCTGAAACCTGAAAGTATTTAAAGGAACACCCAAAACCAACATACAATAACACAAAACTGACACCTGTGGCATTGAATCATAGGATTGCCTGGTGTGCAAACAAACACTAAATCATGTCCCAAGGGGAAAAAAGTTAAGACACAGATGCAGAGGAGACAGGGCAAGATGGCGGAGAAGTAAGGAGCTCCGTACATTTCACTTGCCCCCATATCTCACACGGAGAAGGCCTGAAGTCATAGGAACCCTTACAGAATCCAGGAGTTTGGGAGGAAAAGGAGACGGAGTCTGCTAAGGGCACTTTCTAACGTGAGTGTGAACTGGGGAAGATAAAATCGGCCAGGGCCAGAGACACAGAGGGAGTGGGGATCCCCCTCTGTGGCTAGCCGCAGTGAGTCTAGGGGGCAAAAAGAGTGGCCGAAACTGCTCAAGACACTGTCCCTGTCGCTGGAGAAGAGAAATACCTCCACGCAGGACACAGAGGGATCCAGTTTCCTGGGTCCAGCTGACCCTAGGTGGGACGCACTGGTTCCAGGCGACCCCCGGATGAAACTGCTCCTCACCAGCCCGACCTAGAAGAGATGGGAGCAACAGCCTCTGGCTGGATCCCCAGGGGGAAGGCAAGAGGCTTGAAACTGTCCTGAGGGGCTCACCTGCGAGTTTATACTTCAGTCAATTTCAATGGGGCGCGCGGACTGAGATCTGGAAATGAGGCCTGGCCTGAGATATAGAGCACGGCCCACCTTGGCTACGCCCCTGGCACAGGAAGTTTACACACCCGAAAAACTGAGTTGCAGCGCTTGGCTCAAGAAGGGACTGGGGCGCCGCCACTCTTCTCCCCATAACCGCCAAGGCAGGACTCCCACGGGTCGCACTGGACCAAACCATGCCCATCCCTGCTAGAGAGCTGCCCTCTTCTTTTTTTTTTTTTTTTTCTTTTTACCGGAGCCTGGGCAAGACGAACATGGATGCACTGCCCTGATTAATTCTGGTCACTAGCTTGCTTAAACAGTCACATTTAATGCATTCTCTAGATGTAAATTCTACACCTACCTACCTTTTCATCTCTTTTCTCTCTGGAGTAACCATATTATATAGTTTCTCTGGATAGCATCATCATCATTTCTTTCGCCTCTTCTCCAACCACGTTCCAATCTTTTGCTTTTTGGAAAAAGCCTCTTATTCCTTCTGCCTGCTCATTTCATTTCCAATTTCACTTCATCCCGCCCTGTCATCTCTCTCTTTCTCTATGCTATTCAACCAGCACTGCATACACGCAGCTATTTATTTCTAGCTGGGAAAACTGGTTATATGCTTTAAACTGTTCTTTGTCTATTGGGTTTCTTCTTTTTTTATTTTTATGTATTTTTATTTCTTATTATTCACTTTCCCTTCTCTTTTCTCTTTTCTTTTTCGTTTTCCCTTTCAGTTTGCGTGTTTGTTGGATTTGTCTGTGCGTTTGTGTACCTTTGTTCCTTGTGTGTTTGTCTGTTTTCTTTTCCAGGGCTACCTCAAGAAACAAGCCAAAGTACACATGGTGGAGAGTCCCAAATACCACTACGAGTAGGAAAATAAAATAACCAAGGTCTCAACAAGAGAGACCAAGAGATGCCATTCAAATAACACTTTCCAAATGAACAGGCCCTGGACAGTCAAAGAGCCTTCTTTGGTACAGCAGCGTTCACAGGTGCAGAGTGCATAACAAGCTTTTAAAACTAACAAGAGATAGAAAGCTAACCAAAATGACGAAATGAAAGAGCTCTCCTCCAAAGAAATTCTAGGAAGAACTGACAGCTAAAGAACTGCTCAAAACAGATATAAGCAGCATAACTGAACAAGAATTTAGAACAATAATTATAAAATTAATCGCTGGGCTTGACAAAAGCATGGGGACATCAAAGAAACTATAGCTACAAACACTATGTAGCTTAAAAATAGTTATGATGAAATAAAAAATCCGATAAAAGAGGGGAGGGGCAAGATGGCGGAGAAGTAAGGGGCTCCGTACTTGCACTCGCGCCCATATGTCACACGGAAAAGATCTGAAGCCATTGGAAACCTTACGAAACCTGAGAGATTGGGAGAAAAAAGATGCAGAATCCACTGAGAAAGACTTCTAACGTGAGTTCGAACTGGGGAAGATAAAATCAGGCGGGGATCGGAGACTCCAGGGTCGGAGGCAATCCCCCTCTACCCTCTACGGGGAGCGAGAGGGGAAAAAGGGAGAGTCTGAAACAGAAAAAGCTCCGCTCGGGGCAGAGAAACACCCTGCGCGCCAAATACCTGCACGCCAGGTCCCCTCGCTCCAACTGGTCCTGGGGCTGGGGGGGGGGGGGGGCGATGCTGAGCGCACAGACTGCTGCTTTGTGCTGACTCCTGGCTGGCTGCACTTCTAGAGTAGCAGCGCGCCTGCCGCCATTGTCCTCCCGGCGGGCTTGGGCCCCTGGAAAAGCCGCGCGGACACCAGGAGTCCGTGCTCCTGGCTACATGGAACTCTGGAGGGAAGGCAAAGAGCTGAAAACTGGGAAATTTGCCTGTGAGTTCGTGTTTTGGGTGACGAGCCATAGAGGGACCCGGTTTTCCTCACTCCAGCGGGCTCGGGCTCAAAGAACCCGGCAGGCAAGCCCCCGCCCATGCGCGCCAGCCCGACCCAGAGAAGGAAGCAGCGATTCTGACTCCACCCCCAGAGCTCGGCAGGGGGCCTGGAATTGCCCGAGAGGGTTGCCTGGGAAGCTGTGTCTAAGGCAATTTCAGCGGGGCGCGCGGACTGGGATTTGGAGACTGGGACTGGCCTCGGTTGAAGAGTGCAACCAACTTTGGCTGCACCCCCGGTACGGGGAGTTTACACACCCAAAAAAGCAAGGTGCAGCGCTTGGTTCAAGAAGGGACTGGGGCACCGTCACTCTCCTCCTCACAACCGCCAAGGCAGAAATCCTGCCTGACGCAGGACATCCCCTGACAGGGATGTCCACTCTCACCACTGTTGTTTAACATAGTGCTGGAAGTCCTAGCATCAGCCATAAGACAACAAAAGGAAATCAAAGGCATCAGGATTGGCAAAGAAGTCAAACTTTCACTTTTTGCAGACGACATGATACTCTACATAGAAAACCCGACAGACTCCACCAGAAGCCTACTAGAACTGATCCAAGAATTCAGCCAAGTTGCAGGGTACAAAATCAACGTACAGAAATCGGTTGCATTTTTATACACCAACAATGAAGCAACAGAAAGAGAAATCAAGAAACTGATCCCATTCACAATTGCACAAAAAACCATAAAATACCTCGGAATAAACCTAACCAAGGATACAAGAGATCTGTATGATGAAAACTATAGAAAACTTATGAAGGAAATTGAAGAAGACACAAAGAAATGGAAAAACATTCCATGCTCATGGATAGGAAGAATAAATATAGTTAAGATGTCATTACTACCTAAAGCACTCTACACATTCAATGCAATTCCAATCAAAATTGCACCAGCATACTTCTCAAAACTAGAACAAACTATCCAAAAATTTGTATGGAACCACAAAAGACCCCGAATAGCCAAAGTAATACTGAAAAATAAAACCAAAACGGGAGGTATCACCATCCCAGACTTCAGCCTCTACTACAAAGCTGTCATCC